CATAAAAATATCAACTTGAACTGCATCTTTTACATTTTTAATAGCACATGTTACAGAACCATTACAAGTAATACTTAAAAAAATCACTTTGTGGCAGAACAGATTTAAAATCTCTGTGGTAGGTCGTCACATAAATTAATTTTTTAAAATATAAATTTCATAATTTAGTTTCATACGTCGAATTAATATATCCTATGTTATTAAAACACATTTTAATAATTTCTAAAAGTGTTTATTTGCCAGTGCTTGTCCGAAATTCATCATCATGAATAATCTATCAACACAATCATAAACAAAATATAAATTTTGATCAGTTTCAAATTGATATTTTAACACTTTATCTAATAATGGTATTTCAACAGTAAAATAAGATTCTTCATTAATATATTTTCGAGCTATAATAAAAACTAAATTTGAATCATTATTAATAGTTTCAACATTATGAAATTCTCAAGTAATAATATTTAACATTCCATTTTTAAAACCGATGTAATCTTTATTAATTTTAATAAATTCAAAATTCATCAAGGACTTCATAATCGGTTAAATATGTCATTAAACGTTTTAAAGTATTATGATTATTTAAATAGGCATATTCGCCTTTCATTCGAGAATTATTATAGTATTTTTGTTTCATAAATTTTACATAAGCATACGACTGAATTGTTTTAAATACATTACCGGTGTTTATCTTTTATATTGGTTATCATTAGCATTTTACATAAGCATACGACTGAATTTTTTCAAATACATTACCGGTGTTTACTTATATATTGGTTATCATTAGCATGTTTAAACAATTTTTTTCATTAATAAAAATTGTTCTGAAAACGCTGCATCATCTAGACTATTATTTTCAGTTTTATCTGCGGGGTATTTCTTGTACCAATTAATCAATTTTCGTTAATTAGAAAGACAAGAAATTAAAATTTCAATAATATTTTTGTTTTCAGTTTTAAAACAATTGTATAATTTTAGAACTTGTTTTTGAGTTATCATTTCAAATGTCATACCCGATACCAGTTAAGAATTTATTAATAATATTTCCTATTTTGATCCAACTTTCAGATTGATCATAAAACACATCATCAATATTTTTACATAAATCATTAATTTTATCGTATAAATAATCATCCGGTTCTAATTTTTCATGATTTTCTGATGCTTCAGAATAAGTTTCACATTGTGTGTACAAAACGGGGTGATGGTCACATTCAGTTCACCTCATCCAACCTTTTTTATACCCGTGACGTCGCTCGGAACAATATCAGTGATCTTAGTGACGTTAGGTGCAGTATTGAAAAATTGATTATTTAGTGTTGTGGTGGAAGGGGGGTCACACAGTGTTAAGCATCCCCACTGCGTAGATGCTAACATGCACGGTGGTTCACGTTGCGAAAGTAAATGGAGATACACGTAACGTTAAATAATCATTGATTTGCCGAATTTTGATTGTGTTGTGTGGAGCATATCTCATGCAGTTTTTACAACATGAACTTGGTAGCTGCATTTTTATAATCTTTCGTCCAAGCTCTTAAGTCAGATTCAAACATAATTCAATTTAATTGTTTAGAATAGATGAAATATAATTGTAAAGATGTCCACTCCAAACAGTAAAGTAAATCATTGATTTGCCGAAATTTAGACTTGATTATATCATTGCAAATGGGCTGAGCAAACGATACAAATATCTATTTATACAGTTACTATTCGTTTAAAAAGTAGTAATTCATTATCATAGGTTTAATCTACCTCCAAATAATGACGAAACTCTATAAAATAATTGTAGAATCTTATTAATTCACCAAGGGTTTCAATCCAATCATATCAATTCTGACTTAATATTGGGCAAGAATTCGGCAAATCAATGATGCATCGGCAATTCAATTATTGTTATTTGTTGAATGAGGGGCAGTTGGAATCACTACTGGGGGTAAGGTGGTGTTGGCGTTCACTGTCAATCGAGGACCTCCCTAAAGTGCAACCATTAATTACTCTTGGCCGCATTCATATGATTTAAAACTCGCAAACGTTATTTTGTGGAAGGGGCTACACAAGGGACCCCACCAATGGTTCCCATGCATGATGGTGGGGAGATGGCTGACTCCCATCGACCACAACAGTACCCCTACTGGTTCGGCTTGCCGTTTTAATCGTGCTGATCAACACCGTTTTCGAGTGCAATGTCGGCTTGAGAGTATTTCCACCACTAAAAAGCCGTACATGTATTGTGCATTTCACCCAAATTTGGTCTTGCGAGTCACTTGACCAAATATTAATAGCATTCGAATCCATTTGATCTCATTTAAGCTTGTACTTCGAATGTATGTGGTTTTGCCCAATGCGGAGGACTGGAACGAATCAAACGTTTGGATTGGCCAAAACTCGACAAGACGTGATTTGATTGGCTTAGGCGGTTCTGTTGTTCCATTCTCTTAAGACATTCGATTCTACTGAGGGAGGGCTCCAGTTTCGAATCGATTAGACAATAAATGTTAGTAATATTATTCATTCGATTTGAAGTTGGAGTGGGTAGTCCAATCGAATAGCGGCAGCCCAAACGACTACACCATTTTGCAGTTAAGTTGGACGAATGCCCGATATATTTGGCCGTGCGCCCGATATATTTGGTGGTGTGCCCGATATAATTGGCCATGTGCCCGTTTAATTCGGCACACGGATGTCGTGTGCCCGATATATTTGGCGATGTGCCCGATATAATTAGCCGTGTGCCCAAGTAATTGGCCTTCTGCACCGATGAATTGTGTCATGTGCCCGATGAAAATGGAAATCACGCAATAGAAAGTCAATTCAACATAGAAATAGTCGTCAAACGATAGATGCAGCATCGTTACTGTGACGTCACATACCAACGTCCATGTTGCCCATGGCCTCCGCGCGTCCATCGAAGGTGCATACCTTGAGGTAAATCGAAAAATGAGCTCTGCGCACGACAGATTCAAATTTTGGAGGGAGTTGAAATATGGACGAAACGTTGTTGTAAAATATGCTTTATTCAAGTATAAATTTCGAATTATCGTGCCTTCGCCCGTTTTCCTCCGAACTTCAACCACATGATGTGTCCACCAAAACTGATTTGCACTCCATGGAATATAATTATTTGAGTTATTTCAATTTCATCGGGCACACGACACTATTTAAAATATTATCACTTGATTTGTGTTTACAGTTAATGCATTTTCGTTAATCGACGCAATGCATACACAGTGGATGACTGCCAAAAATCTCGCAAACGAAAATAAATTCGTCAAATTCTTCCGTATAGAAGAATTATCTAAGTTCATTTCGTTCTAGAAATATCAATTTATAGATATAGTATTTGATGTATAAATTTGCTTATATATTGGTTTGTGCACCAGACTTCGCATCGTACAACTTTGTGGAGGGTTTTATTTTATTATTATTACAAAAGAAAAAGTATGTTTGCGAGATTGTTGGCAGTCATCCAGTGGTACACGTATAGCAATCGTTGTGGAACTCCACAGTCAAGATTCGCCATTGTAGCGAACATTTCAGGACACAGGTAGTATATTAGTACGACCTACTAATCTAGATTAACTTGTAAATTGTACGTTAAGCCATTATTGGTGGAATCTTTTTGAATTGGTTTGTAGATATCGCGTTGACAATTATTAATATCTGGCCATACTGCAATGGACTCTCAGCTTTGACTGAGGTGTAGAGCAGAACCATCCGTATGGGGAGTTATTCCTGACGGTTTTGACCTTATTGCTAGTGCCCTAAGTGTACAGTACTTAGAACTTTTACGTTGTTTTAGTAGGATACGGTACTCCAGAGGACTAACGTTAGTATTTTTTTTATGATTGGACGATTCCCTGCAAATATGATAATGGTGAGAAATGCAGTGTAAAATGAAGTTGCGGTAATAACGTTGGTTCTAGCACTATTGAGCAGGTCGAGCGCCTTGTATGAACGGACTTCCTAGTAATACTAGTAATGCCCAACCCCGAAACAAGGAAATCAGGTGCTAATAATATATGATTAACTTCCATCCAATCGACCAAGGGGCGAGAACGACATAACCACCGAGTAGACTAGTACATACTATAGTACCCCTGGGAGACCACACTAGGCGGTTCTTAGATGCGTATCTTGCAAGGACTTGGTACTTACTAGTACTACTAGTACTTAAGACTTACGGGACAGCATTGAATATTAATACCAACCTTGGATACTATGGTTAATATAATATAATTGTTGAATTAAAAGCATGGATGACATGTGGATGAAATTTGGATGACATTGGATGAAGTTGTGGGATGAAACCTAAAGTAGTGACCAAGCCTTACGTTGGCCCC